CGTATAATTACAGATTTTTCCCCAAAACGTGGACATTTTTAGTTTATTTTTTTCAGGTGTTCATATTAACGTTTTTTTTTTATTTGAATATATTTAATTTTATATATAAACGAAGATGGACAGAATATATGCTCTTCCTCGTATTCTCGCAGTCCTTCTCTCACTTAATAAGTTGTGTGAAAGATGTAGGTACTTTAGTGTCTGGTTTATACTGTAATGTTAAAACTACTCGTATAATGTAATATGTAAATTCAAAACTACTCCCATACACTTGTGGAATATATCACATTCTACTTATTGACGAGTTGTATATTGTGTATTTAGTATAATACAAAAGTTTCTCAAACTATCAGTTTATGACTTTTATACATTTAATTAGTTTAGTATGTTCTGGTTTTTGAAGCGTATTTTAGTTCTACTATCCTAACTTGTTAAACATTTATAACTTTAGGTATACATATCCTTTTCTGGAAAAGTAATCTTCTTGATATATTACTTGAAAGTTGGGTCTGTCTCCAGAAAAATAAAAGGACTAAACGCTGATTGGCAAAATGCACTGTTCTTACCACAGAACTCTTACTCAGATGAGTTTCATAATATGTAATTATGAATCTGTTTTCTTTATAGATGTGGATAGTCTTAGTTGGAAGTCTTTTTTTTTCTGGAAATTATTTAAGTTCTTATGTTTCTATTTGAATATATTCAACTGTATTAAACTCATAGAAAATCCATGTAGGATGATAAATTGATACTTTTCAGACAATTACAATCATGCAGTCTTTTGATCAGAATCAGTAGCAAAAAAAAAAGGAAAGGAAAAATAGAAATGGATATAAAAATAGAGATACAAGAGATACAAGTGGTAAGAATATCATTCATATTTTGGGGGGGGGGGGTAAATTGTGCTCGTATAGGAATATGAACCGTATGTAATATATAAAAGGTTGAAGATAGGTGTAAAGGATTTTTTCTTCCAAAATATTATGATCAATTTAACACTCACCAAAGGTCTTTGAGAGCCATTTCCACTGGTATGACTATCAAATTTTCCAATACCTCTCTCTAGCCTATCAGTGAACATCTCTTAATATAAATTGGTCCCAGGAATCATTTCAAGATCCTGCTTCTAACAATCAGTTCCACAAATGAAAGCAAGGCAACAGTGACTGGTAAAACTAATGGGTAGTGTCAGAAATTAACTTTAGAGAAGTCTTTAGCTTCTCGGAGAAGCACACACCCTTCCTCAGACTCTCTCCCTTGGGTGACTATCTCATCCATTGGACCTCATTTTTTAAAAGCCTTAATCCACCTTTGAGAATGTCTAACATGTGACGGTTATTGTAGTTTCATTCCACTACTGGGTGTTAGAATATAAAGCTCGAATTTAACTCCAAAACCTGATATTAAGTAGCTTGAATAGTTTCCACCAAATACAATTTCAATTGTTTTATTGAAAAACAAATCTAGTGTTAAACAGAAGATGTTTTTCGTGTAGAACTTAAAATTATTGTTGTCATTGTAAAAATAAAAAAATCTGCGATATATTTAAAATATTATACCCAGATATGCCTAAATATGTGAAAATAAATCTGTGTTAACTGAGATACTCTTTCACCCATATTTCTCTTAGTTTGTCCATTGCTGATTCAAAAGAGGAATATGAAAAAAACATCGGCAATAGACGTGATTATTATCACAAATTTTAAGCCTGTTGGTTTCTAATGTTTTGCAAGCCTTCAGCGTTCAGACAGGAACTTTTAAAGTATTATACTCAGATTTTAGTAGCAATTCTCATTGACAAGTTTCAAGTATGCAATTAATATGACTTTCCATTTAAATAATATTTACCAGAATCACTAGATATAATTTTCGTATCCTACTAAGTCTAACTACTATTTCTCTAGTATACACACATGCACAGAAAGAAATAAGTTTATGTATGAAAGGAGTTTTTTTAATCACACTCCAAATGAAACACAAACGTTTAGTATTTGAAATATTTTAGCCTATGATAATATTAAATTCATTACAGAGAGGAAGCCGACCGATAGCACTATCCAAAACGTTTACAATTCTGATAAAACAGTTAGCATTCAGGATCACGAAAAAAAAAGACTCAAAACTCGAGCGGTTTCGAATAATGGACTATTCTTCGCCAGTGGAATAAATGGTCCCTTCATTGCGCCCTTTATTCTCCTAAAACGTATACATTTACTTTGAACTTTGCACTCCGATGGGAAAAATACATTCATACAATTAATAGTATAAATATTTTGATTTAGAAAGACCAAAGGATTGCTTTCTTGTATTCTGTGTTAAATTCAAGTATCTTTTTTTGGAAACTAAAAAATAACTGATCACTGAAACTTGTTGTTAATAAAGCTCAGTTCGTTGAGTTTTTGTGATCTGAGCTGCAAATATAGGGAGACACAACGTGTTTTGAGTATACTATATCTTGAGTCTTTTTCTTTATATGAGAGAACACTTGTTTAGTGACAATATATTATATCTTCGATTTTTTTAGAGTAGAACACGTGTTTTGTATCGCTATGTATATATATATGTAAACACACATTAATTTTTTCAATGGAGAAAACATGCTCTGTCATGATATATATGTTTTGTCTTTTTCAAGTGAGAACACGTTTTGTCAAGATGCAGTATATCTTAAACCTTTTCAGAGAACAACATAATAGGTTTACTTAAGATATGTTCTTATGTTAGATCTTTGTTTTAGGAGAAAGCTCGTTTTTTTTGTCACAAGATATTAAACCTATCTTAGATAACATATCACAGTCTTTTGTCCTAATTTCTCACCTCTTTTGATGTTCTTTTAGAAAAGTTGTTTTTATTTCATTTTAATCAGAAAAATCACAGTCAGAAGCCACTTTTCGAGGAGTGGAATTTCTCAGTTACGACTTCAAAGCCTTTGGAGGAGGAGAGCCCATCACCAGTTTAAGTGACACGGTTTCCCTTTTTTTCAAGACTCGCCAGCCCCATGGGATGTTGTTTTACACAGGAGATGGAGATGACTTCCTTAGCTTATCGCTACGTGATGGAGGCATTGTTCTGACTGTCAGTCTAGGTTCAGGTTCTCTTGAAAGAGTCGTCCGCCCCTCTAGAGTGCGCTTTGACGACAACCAGTGGCACAAAGTTTTAGTTCATAGAAAAGTTCGAGAAGTAAGTAACAAATCGTTAAGTTTTAAATAAAGATAAATAAAGTTACATATACTTGGAATATTCACATTTATATTTCCTAGCTTTACAATTAAAAGGAGTGAGCTTTTTTAAGGTCGATGGACATGTTTCCTGCACAGAACTCATGCTCATGTTTTTCTGTGTACTCCATACACATTTTAGGATTTTGCAAACTTCTTCGTTCGCACTGTCTTTTACACATGATCTCTGATTGTTTTTTAAGGATCTCAAACGCTTATATACAAAGTACTTCAAATATTGGCTAAATTGTGTAGTGAATCTTTAAACTTCTTCCCCTGTACATCAGCTTTTTTTGGTGTAGCAAGAATAAAGCTTCCGATTTGTTTCAATTTCACGTAAGACTTATATACCATATACTCTTTTTTTGAACACGAATAGGTGGACTTGTTAATAAAGACATCAACATCCTGCTTAAAATACCATTAAGTAGTTCCGTTAATAAGCTTAGGTACCATTGTAAAGTTTATAATGCTGTAAGATGGCCCTTTACAAGGCTTAGGTTCCAATAAACTCTTTAAAATACCATTAAGTTGTTCCGTTAGTAGGCTTAGGCATAAATGTAATGTTTATAATAGTGTTAGATGACCCGCTACTAGGCTTATGTGCCAATATATTCTATAAAGTCATCATCAGGTTTAAAAAACAGGGAGCAGATGATAATGCACTGATTAAAACATCATTATGATATTTCGTTAAGAGGCTTAACAGTTGAAAACATTACCATACAGAGTGTATAAAGTGGTTTAGTTAGTCAGCTGAGGTATCAATCTCCTACTTAAAACATGAGTTATGAATATAATGTTTGAAATAACATTTGAGTATTTGAGTTATGAAACTTGGGTATGTATGCTATTCGAAAAGCACATCTTTCAAACACATCTTTACCAGTTTCTTTCTTGTGTTTCTTTTTTATAAACGTCAAGTTAAAGTTTGCTCTCTCTGGTTTTTAAAACTTATTATATATAAGAATTAAATTTTAAAAAATTGAAAGATTTTTTCAACATCGTTGGAAACTATCACGGCTGTAAAGGTGTATCTCTATTCCTTGGTAAAGTTACGAACCCCTAGAAAATTGACGTCATGAAAATGAAGGTTTAATAATGTAAAACACACATAGATCAAGGTAAAAAACAAAACAAAATTGGAGTAAATCATCAAATAAGATTACGTTGATGAAGACTTAAGCATTCTTCTGAAAACAGAAATGCCTTCCTGAAAAACAGTAAAGAACGATAAAAACATGGAGGATATGCTTGTAGACCTCTAAGTTAGTGTCAACAAAGGTTTCATTCACATCATCTTCCTTATTAACTGTGATACTTCAACTGTTAATAATATGGATTATTTGTCAAGAAACGGTTGGGATTCCAATAACCAGCTGGATTACAAGATGATTTAAAATAAATATAAAGAAGAAAAAACAACTTCTGAATTTTCTTGAACAATGTTCACGTGTAAAGAGAACCAAAAAAGTGAAACACTAAATGATCCAACATTCTGATTGAAATATATTCGAATATGATTTATTGTTTTCTCTCGCTTTTCTTAAAGCGATAACAAATAATTAGATGTATGTTTTAACTATGTAAGCTTGAAAAAATATCTGTTTATAGGTAAAGTGTTTAGTGATGTCTTAATAGAAATGCTAACAATTTCTTTTCCATTCATTGTTAGATCACGGATGTTACGAGCTTCTGTCACGTGAGTATATATTATTTTCTGGTTAGATATAGGTATCTCGGTGTATATATTATTTTCTGGTTAGATATAGGTATCTCGGTGTATATATTATTTTCTGGTTAGATATAGGTATCTCGGTGTATATATTATTTTCTGGTTATATGTAGGTATCTTGGGCACAGAATATCTTAAAGTTATGCACGAAACAAGATTCAATGTGTAATATCCAAGCTGGTTGGTTAACGCAGCTAAATACTCTTCTTGAATTCTGTATTCCTCATGGGGATTTGGTCCAGTCTTAACCTTATTACAACCAAAGAATCAAACTAAATTAAGTTTCCGAGTGTTAACATACTAAACATTTTCGAAACAGTTTGATTAATCCATATAGTACTATCGTTACCTACACACAGTAGTTAAAGTACCCTCTGTTTCACTGGTACTCGTAACAGATACATTTTCTTCTGCTCCAATAAAAAACGCAACAAAAAGTCAACTCTAGTTTAAATTTTATCTAAAATGTGCAAAATGCATTCGAACTCATTATGAAGCTTTACGCTTGCTCTTTTAACCTGTTTATCGTAATATCGATTTTCAAGTAGTTTAATCTTGGTTAAAACTGCTATTGTAGTAAAAGCAATTACTTAAAAACCTTTGTATACAGAGGTTGAGTACGTTATATTAAAACGACTTTATTGCCTTACCACATGCGACAGTCCATGTCGCCACGTCCAGTCATGCTCTAACTAACGACGTGCATCTTGAAAATGGCCCTGCGTCGTAGTTTCTATTGAAAAAGATTTAGTCGTAAGGCTGCCATGTCCAGAACACACACCACTCCTTCTTGCTGGCTCTCCATAATCCATCTATTGTGCGAGGGTGACAATCTCCCAGCAGATCGATACCACAGATATCTAGCTACATGACCGACATGTCTTTGTGTGGAATACTATGAATATCCGGAACATTCTCCAGTTGCATAAGTTATGCAATGGTTGAACGGATATCTCATGGAGACAGCTTATACACACGTGACTTGTGTCGCTTTTGCAGGTGGATATTCTTCTTGATTATGTTACGCACTGTTGCCTGGGACGTTTGTGGTCATGGATTCTCTCTCCTGTTACAAGACATCGCACTTACAAAGGCTGGTGTACGGCTTGTTGCAGGATTGATTCTAAGTTGATCCACATTCTCCTTTACCAATAGCATTAAGTACAAGGAGTATATCCACGTCTTGGAAATTAAGTACAAGGAGTATATCCACGTCTTGGAAATTAAGTACAAGGGCTATCTTGGAAATTAAGTACAAGGGCTATATCACCGATCTCAATACATTTTTATGATCTGAATGTAGAAATAATTTGCGTCAGAAGGGACTATTACATACCCTTCTCAAAAGCGATCAACTTTTGGTGGAATCACTCTAACTACGAAATTACAAATATTGTCAAATGTAGTTCTGATACATTACGTTCCAACATGGTTTCATGTCGGCTATGATTATCAAATGACTCACTGATCTGCATAATCAAAGTAGTTTTAATATAACGTACTCAAACCTTTGTATACTTTTCTTTTAGTTCTGTTTGCTTAGGCTTCAAAAAATTAATAGTGGTTATAATCAAACGAACAAATATATCTCAAAAATTCTAAATGTCAAAGACTCTTGTGAAGCTTAAGAACAAATGATTGTCAGGATTCGAATTCGATGACGGGGAACCCACATTGCTAGGACATGCTATTATACTACGATCTGATATGTTAGAATTACTTTAACTTTGCTACAGTTTTCTTTCTCAATTACAGATTTATATATCTCTGAAAAGATCGTTCTCTAAACATGAACATTTATTCAAATATAAATTGTTTACACAAAAAGTTCATGAAAAATGTTTCTATAAGGGTGTTCACTGGCTCAATACCAGTTTTCAATAAGTTGTATCCTTGTGTGTTGTACACCGTACTTAACGAGAAGTTAAACTTAATACAAGAGTTGATAAGACAGGGTGGCTTACACCGTACAATTATCAGTTGGAACGCTGCTAATTCGAATTTTATGGTGTGAAACGCTTAAATTGATATCAGTTGCGAAAGTTTAACTTGAAAAATTCTAAAACGAAAAAGAAGGGCTAATATTAATGTACATATCTCTTGAAATATATTACATCGTTAGAAACGACTTGTTTGTTTCAGAAATGCACGCAAAGCTTCGCAAAGTGCTACCTATGCATAGTCGCCCCTAATTTTGAGTTGATAGTTGACAGCTTACAACAATACTACTGCCAACTCTTGGGCTACTTTTGTTTGACCAAAAGGTGAGATTTGATCGTCACTTATAAATGATAGCGCACCAATATGTTTTTTTTGGGGGGGGGGGGGCAGGACGCGAACATGTATCATCGGATTCACAATCCGAGCACTATGACACATCCGGCCCAATAGACACGATAATCACAACACATTTCTTGTAAGATTTCATTTAAACAAGGCTTACCATTGTTTTGATGTAGGTATTCAGTATACATCCGATTAAGTGTTTGTACGTTATGATATTGTTAAAAACAAGCGCTAACATATTTATTACGATAAAAGAAAGTACGTGCAACGTCATCTTTTATGGATTGTGGAAAATAGCACGATGTTATGTAAATGTTTAGTTATTACCTGACTTTGTACATATATATATATATGTGTGTGTGTGTATATATGTGTATGCATCTATTGATCACAGGATGTTGGAAAAACGAGCAGATTTTTTTCAGTGTCTGCAAAAGTTTTGTTTCCATAACAACCGTTGCTAGATAACACGTCTCCACAAACAAATAGAAGTGGTGAAAGGTAGTCAATGTATATGTATGTGTTGAGGATATGACACGTATTCCAACGATGATGTTTGTGTTTGACGTGTTATTTAATAAGTAAAACATAATATTGTTTACTTATATTTATCCACAGTGAAAAACTTAAACATTAAAGTTCGATATAATATTAAAAAACAAAGTAGGAATTGTGTATTATAAAAAATATGGCCACTTGCTGACATTATATTTTCAGATCCAACCTCTTAATTTCAATTTTATGATATATTCAAGTAATATTCACAGATTAAAGCACATTGAGGTTAATTGTCTTATGATCTAGTATCGCATAAGTTACGAAAACTGTAATTTGAAATTCTAGGATAATGTTTCTCAACCACCGATTCGTGGACAAAGAAACAAAACTGGCATAATATTCAAATATAAATCGTAATGGTTTTTTTTTTTTTTTACTTTACATCTTAGTAGTCCGCGATAGTTTAGGGAGGAAGCGAGCTGGTTCCTTGTATCGAAAAGGTTGAGAAATGTTGTTCTAGGACACTCTTTTTTAATAATTAATTCGTAATAGTGCATTTCGAAAGATGGGAAACATAATAAAAATTAAGCACATTATAATTTAATTTACTAAATTTTATCCAGAAAACACTAAATCGAATGCAGGATAAATCGCATAATGTTTTATAATCACATAACTATACATATATGTGTGTGTGTTTGTGTGTCTAAATATTTTGGAGGCGTAATATTTAATATTGCAAGCAGACAATGCACCAACTGTTAATTAATGTGTCTGAATCGTTTTTAATGTTTTTATGCTACTTGGATTTCGTCCAACCGTTTGGAGATTCTCCTGCATAACTGCAAACACTCTTTTTTTTTTCCTGTTACAAAAATTGATGATATATTGACGCTAAGTAGTCAGAAACAAAGAGATTGATAATGGACGTGCTGCTGGAGAATGTTATACAACTTTTAACTTTTGCACCATTTATCCCATTAATGGGAAATATAAGAAGTGGAAGCTTTTAAAATGCCAAGGCATTCGGGTTTCGAAGGAATCACAATATGTGTTTAGGTACGAGGAGCCCGCGTTTCGAATGAATCATAGTAGGCATTTGGAATTCCAAGGCCTTTCCGTTTGGAAGTAGTTACAGTAGGAAATTAAAATTTCAAGGGCTTAATGTTTCGAAGGAGTCACAGTAGACATTTACAATATCAAGGATCCTGGGCTTTGAGCCACAGTAGGCATTTAGGGTGCAAGGTCTCTGGGTTTGAAAAAGTCACATAATTAAACAGACAAACAGCAGCTTTTTTTACGTTGTTGGTATTTATATAACACTGCACATTGAGAAGCCTAAGTCGAACTTGAATATTCGTATATTATCTGATTCAGTATCGTCAATGAATAAATCTACTACCCAAAAAGAGAAAACACTTATCAGGTAATGACTCTCATCTTGTTAATTCAAAATTGTCTTTTTGCTTTAGTCAAACCTGCGTATTTTCTGTTGAGTTAACATGTTGTTGTTACTTAAAGTTTTTTAATGATTTGCTTGTCATCATTCGCGTGGTATGTTTTTTAGAGATGAATTCGGATTTGAAATTTTACGATCAAGTTTGTCCGAATTTTACAGCTTCACTTCAGGCCCGATCCCAGTACAAATAAAAATAAATCTCTATAGGTCCGAGTAAGTCCGAGCATTTTTCCAAAAAAACCAAACGAAAATCAGGTCTGGTCTCATCCCTAAGATGTGCCCCCCAGTGGCACAGCGGTATGTCTGCGGACTTAAAACACTAGAAACCGGGTTTCGATACCCGTGGTGGGCAGAGCACAGATAGCCCATTGTGTAGCTTTGTGCGTAAATTCAAACAAAACAACAACAACAACAAAAAACCCTACGATGTAGGGATTTTAGACTACAAAACACTGAAAAACTGCATTGTTTTTCGACAGATTTATGGATTTTTACTACAGATTGTAATACACACTATTTATGTAAACACTGGTATAAAAGCCCGTCAAAAATGACAGGAAACCAAAGCCTACCAAATTTGAATCCTCCAGTGTGCATTTACAAATTTACCGCTTGTAAATACATAAGGGCCTTCTATCTTCGGGAAACCAAAGCCTATCATGAGCAATATCCAATTTACCTAAAGAGTGTCTCTTCCCAGCATCGACCCTTGCCCCAGTATTCA